AGTCGCCTAGGCTGTGTGTGGTAAGGATTTCAACAAAGCAGGAGATTAAGAAGTGGATTAGCTGGTTATCTTAGTAAAGAAGGTAAGTAAACCTGCCTTGAGGGGCCTGGCCTACCAAGAAAAGAGTATCAGAACCTTGTGGAAATGTCACTAGGATGAGGTTTGCAGTGAAATGTGCAAAGATGATCTGTGAGTGGAAGAGAAGTAGGAAACCAGGCAAGGGCTGTGTCTCTGGGGAAAGGCCTCATGACTGGGTGGAACCTGATGTCAAAAATGCAGAAAGGCTGATGAAAACATTGGCTTTGGCAGAAACAAAGTCCTTTGACCTCAGTAAGGTCTTGTGACACAGAAGCAGATAACTAAAACTGAGTTCTCTACTCATACTGGTGGACAGGCTATGTGGGCTAGACTGTCTTGTTCCTCTCTGTGTTTCCACCTGGCACAGTACACATTTCCTTGTTGACTGATTGAATGAATGAATAATGAATGAATGAACTGGAGCCATTCCAGAAGTGAGCTGGTTCTCAGGAGTATGCACAGAGTTCAGTTGGGGATAACGTCAAGATGTCAGTGGCAGAAAACAGCTGAAACTGGGAATCCTCTAGGTAAGATATGTAAGTTGTTTTATTCACAATGCATGTTTCTGCCTGATCATTCAAGCCAAAGTATGTGAATGCTTTTGGCTGTGAAGTGTGTGAGGGTATGGTATGAAACTGGCAGTGTGTGTGCATGTACCAACTATTAGCATGCCTGATTTGTTTGGTCTATTCATGTGGAAATTTCTTAAAAGTAATGGATTCTGCAAGGTTTGGGGAAAACTGTTTGAGTGCTTACATGAAAACGGTATTTTCTACTGATAGTTTGAGCTGTGGTTTGAAAAGAGAAAATGTGGCCTTCTATTTGCGGGATCTGTTTTCCATCCTTTTCTCAAACACTAAAGTGACTTGTAATTGCCTCTCTTAAACTGAATCGTGGAAGAATGACAGTGATTCACAAGTGTGGCTAAAGTGCTGCCGAAATCTGGAATGTATTTACTGCAATTGTTTAGACTCTCTAAGATCAGACCTTCAGTGGATGTGACAGAATAGAATAGGAAGAAAAAATGGAGCATTTCTAGCTGGCAACAGCATTTTTTAGGAATTGTTAGGCAAGAAGCTGGAAACAAAATGACTTTCAGAAATATTAGGATTCCAGCATAAATCCACTTTTAAAAATGCTTTTAGCTCCAATAAAATATAAGTCATAGTGTAAAAGCCACAGAGCTTTGCCGTCTCTCTACTGTTGACATGGTATAGTGGTATTGTCCGCTACCCCAAAACTCCTACTGTGTTCTGAATTCTGAAGACATTTAATTTCACCCACTTTACTGCAGAAGTCTGTCACCATGCTGCCCTGGGGCTAACACTACACAGGTGCATTAAGGGAAGCCTTCACCTTCTTCTGAAGCATCAGCTATTGGCTGTTGCTTCAGGGAGAATGAGAAGCTTGATGTATGTCTTTCTGTTGGAGTGACAAGCTATGTGAATCTCCTGTCCATATTTTTGATACCACCCTATCCTTATTTTAATTTTTTCAATTACAAGTGTAAAAAGAAAAAATCTAAAAAATGAAAGCCCCTTCATTGTTCTTCCATGATGCCCATTCCAGCTCCCCAGAAAGAAGAGCTAAGAATTTAGTGTGTAATACTATTGCCTTCAGATTTTAATTTGATCATAGATCCCTAGAGCTTATGTTAACTAACATTCTGTAGAGGCAATGTCAGAACACCATCAATGTAACCTAAACAGCCTGTGGGGAAATCCAGCTTTTGTGTTTTATCTGCTCATAAATATATCTGTGTCTATATACCCCTCAGTGGTTGCAAGCATGTGATCTCCGGGCTGTGTACAGCCCTGAAACATATTTTGTATGGCTTGTCCAGTGCTTTTTAAAAATCTGTGAATCAGTTGCCAACATTCGAAAATCAGGATATTGTAGGTAAAAATATGGGGTCTGGCTAATCTTGAAAAATAGGAGGACCTATAGCCCTGAAGACACATTCCTGTAGGGTAGCAATTGGCTAGAGGTGAGCAGTAGCAGCCCCTAGAGACCCATGACCCGCCGTGTGCCACACCCCTGCTGCTCCCTGTTGTATTACATTTGGCCAGCTGCACGTCTTTGCATTGCCTGCTGGTTCCTATAAACATAGAGTTGAGTTTGCAACTCTCATCACTGAGTAGCAGATTTGAGAACTAAAAATGTTATAGATAGGGTGACCATATAATTAAGTGTCCAAACTAGGACACTTTGAAAGTAAAAAAGGGTGCCATTAATAATTATACCAGGACAACAGGCATAAACCAGGACTGTCCCAGACAAACCAAGATATATGGTCCCCCTGTCTACAGACCACTTCATTCAACCACTTCATTTGACTAATGAGAAAATTGAGACCTAGAAAGACGAGGTAATTTGCCTGTAGTAGTCACCAGGTAAACTAATGGCAAAGCTGCCCTAAGTACCCTGACTCCCAGCCACAGCCTTCTCCAATATGATGTGCTCTATAGAACACATATGAGCATCATATCCTCTGTGAATGTATGGATTTTGATAGTTAATAATTATCACATAGCTAATTTCCTGTGAGAGTGTACAAATTTGTAGCTTATATCATCAATAACATTTCTATTATGAGTGTAATTAATGCCTTGGCCTATAGCACACCCAGAGATGTTCAAAACATTGATAAGATTGAGAACTAGAGAGTAAATTCAAGAAAATCTTCAGGTACAATAAGAGATATACTTAGAAGTGATAATTGTCCAGATTAAAAAAAAAAACACCATTAAGTAAGTATCCAATAACTGGCTTGCTAAAAATACTGTATATTGACTTCTTTATCATTGGCTGTTGGCTAGTAATTAATATTAATTACATCTTCAAGAGATGTCAAAGATCCCAAATTCCCAAATCCTTGACTAGCTGTCTATTGCCTTGTTGAGTTTCCAAGAGATATTTGTACAGAGAACACTCCAGATGAGATCAATGCACGCTCTTAATCACTTGCTCAGACTTGGCTGCAAATCCCTGTCTGGCCTCCCATCCTAGGGAACTGGACTAGACCACATGTGAGTCTCAGAGGCTAGAACCTAGAGAGGCTAAAGCCGTAGCCTTTCGTGAAGGCTTAAGCCAAAGGCCAGCCTCAGAAGTCTCCTTCAGGATGCCTTTTTCCAATGCCCCACTGGGCTCCCACTTGTCGTTCCAAGAGACCTCACAAGCAGCAGACCATTCTTATATGTCAGCTGTACAAGATGGAAGACAGAAAGAAGGAAACCCTTCTTGCCAAAACCTAAAACAGAGCTAGCCTACGTCACCCACTCCATGCTTCCTTTCCCTTAATGCACGCTGGTCCCAGTTGACTTTTCAAATGTGGGACCATTACCCACAGGAGACATGAGCAGGACACTGGCTTTGTGTAGTTGAGGAGAACTAAGAAGAGATGAAGTGAGCCAAGATCCCTTTACTGACTCCCTAACACCTTGCCCTTGCTACAGCATCCTCCCCTCATGTCCTGGAGGAGCTCCTTTTTCTTTGACCTTTGTCAGAGCTTCTTTTCTGTGGGGTGGCTTGATGGAGGAGAGGACCATCTAACCATGACCTATAGACTCAAAATATAAACCACACACATGGGTAACTTTTTCTCTAATGCACCTCTACAAAATTCAACAGGAAAAGTTGTTTTCTAAATGAGCCACATCCATCCATATGCATGAAACAGACCCCTAGTTTTGTGCTATCCAAGAGCGACATGTGGCTACTGAGCCTTTGACGTGTTAACATTTTGGCTACTTCGGTATAAGTAAAACATATTAATTTAATTTAATTTTTTTTACTCTTTTAATGTGATTACTAGAAAAGCTAAAATTACCCATCACTCACATTATATTTCTATTGAACAGAGCTCTTCTAGAGGCGTAGGTCATGCACATAAATGAAGTAAGTTCAGTTGCATGCTTAGGTACCACAGTGACCTTTTGCCATCACAAGTCTGAAAGGAGAGTGGTTTGCTAGTTGTTTCCTAGTGCAGCTTGTTTATTAGCAAGGCTTCAGTGTAGGAGAGTTATCTGGGACAGGGGCAGAAGTCATATTAGAGCCTGTACATTTACCTTGATAGGAGAACATGGTGAAAGCATTCAGCACTTCTTTCTGTAAATCAGACTAGTTTTTAAAAGGACTAACCTCCTCCCCCACATCTTCCAGTGTCTTGTTTCCTGCACAGCTCTTTGCCTTCCAGAGCCCTGTGGGGTACCTGTTCTGACACCAGCTCTTAAGCTTCTATTCCATATCACACAGAAGGCACTTGGGTCTATACAGTGCCAGCTGTAGGTGCCATATGGAAAAGCCAGACCATATACATATGTACAGAGTGTTTCTGAAGCCAGAAGGAGTATAGAAGAGAGTGTAACTCATCTAGCTTTATCTTTCCTTGCCTTTGAAAATTTTAATCATTGAAATATCTTTAGGCTATAAATAGAATCACATAGTGAGATAATTCTGAGTTAAAACCAAATATGTACTTTTGTTTTTATATGGACATAGGACTGTATATGGATGTATGAAAATGTAGATTGAACATTTGGATACAGACAGGTTTGACTTTCCAATAAAATGTGTGGAGAAGGATGTATAAATGAATGGAGATAGTGTATGTCAGTCTGCTCAAGCAGGGTTTTTCATATTTGGAGCAGAGATTTCCTCCTCCTATAAATAGTTGGAGAGAAAGTTCTGTTTCTGCTTCCATCTAGTTTAGGTGCAGAGTTCACTTAGATGGCTGCCAAAGATTGATGGAGAAGGTCATTCTCTTGACTGAGCCCAGCCTCAGTGTTGTGCTTCTCCTGCCACAGACAGCATGGGTCAGCGACCAATCCCACGTAGGGACGGTGCCACCTGCAGCCAGGCTTCAGCTGTATTTTCCTTTGGAGTAACCTCTTTCCTTCTTCTTTTCCTTCCACCTCTTCTAGGCAGGACAGGGCTGCTTGCTGATCTCTTGCCCAGTTTTGCTGTGGAGATTATGCCAGGTATTCAGTCATTTAACTCTTTATTTACTTAATTTTCTGTCACTCCATCTGTCTTGTTTCTGCATTAGTCACTAATTGCTCCTTTAATTTATTTGCACATTTGTCTGTATACGTCTGTGGTCTTTTCCAGGATGAACTAGGCCCATTAGAAGAGACTTTAAATTGTATTTCTTCTGCTACTAGGCCCTAAAAGAATAATGCTAATTAACAATAGGCTGAGATGGGGACCCAGTCCTTCAGTGTCAGGCATGCAGTCTCTTTGGCAGTCTCTATGCCCATCTCAGTATCTCAGCTACACCCAGATATCTATAAGTATCCTTAAAAGAGTCATTATTCATCTGCATTCCATATTCCCTAAGTTATATGTCTACCCATTCGTTAGTTTATAACTATGTTATTCTGAATTGCCTTTTATAACTATCTCAAAACATTTTTCAAACTTTATGAAAGCTATGGCACACCTCCTCCCTTGAAAAGTACACATACAGACCTACAAGCAATGTAGGTCTGTACAATTTCAGGGGCTTCTTGGACCCCCTAAGTCCCTGGAGTCCTTGGACCATATGTCAGGGACACCTGCCCCAAATGCACACCTGTCTTTTTATGTAGCTTCAGTGGAACACACCAGCCTAGACAAGCCAACATCAGTTTGATGCAGCACTATAGTCCATAATGGAAGGAGGCTCAGAGAGAAACAAGAATGAACTATGGGAGAGGACATATCCCAACTCAGGGAGTAGGAAAGGGTATGATTCAGTCTTGCTTTGGAGGGTTTCTGCCAAAGGGTTAAGAGCTGCTTAATAGTTGAGAGCAACAGAGTGATACAAAATATTCCTGGCCGTTGATTTTGACTTGATTCAAGTTTTAGGAAACATCCAAAGTCTTCACAGTTGAGCTTCACTGATTATTCTTCCATGAATCCTCCTTGTACTTTCCCATTAGCTGGCCAACCCAAATATAGACATTGTTCTTACGGATGTTGATCCCAAGGACACAAATAGATATCTCTTTGTGATCCCCTTATCCAGAGTTCTGTCAATTTGTACACATTTGTTCATCACAAAAAAAAAAAAAAAAGTTACATTGCATTGCTTCAAACTAGATGTTATATCCCCCAGTCCCAAGAAACAGTTACTGTTTTTCATATCTGGTCCTGGATGCCTCAATTTTCCTCCCTTTTAACTACAAGAATCCTTTCATGGATAACATTCTTTGTTTCTCCAAGGTAACCTGCCAGTCTTTTACCCTTGACTGCCTGAGCCAAGTTGTAGCCACCAAGCCACACAGCTCATGTAATCGTCAGAGCTCGGATCTACCTCAGGCTACACTATGTTATTATATTATTGTTAAGGCCCAGGCGAAAGCCCTCAGCTGTCTATTGTCCTCAGCAACATTCCGGCCAGGCACAAGGCCTCATTTCCTCACTAAAGAGAGGGTGACCTGGTTAATTTGAATGTCTTTCAGATGGATGAGCGAGGAGGGACATTCGGGAAATTTCCCTCTGAGGAAATTATGTTCTAAACAAAGGTCAAATAATTTTACCATTTTTACAAAACCCTTTATAAATCAAAAATGTCATATTCTCAAGCTCTAACTGAATGCCTGTTTAATTGAAGGAATATTTAATAACCAAAAGTCAGGAAAAACAATGTGTACTTGAAGTTCATTGTAAAGGGATTTGGGGTAGATGGCTTTCAATCAAAATGAATCACTTTAATCTTTTGGCTTTTAAAGGAAATCATGGCTCACTCCAGTGTGTCCCAGTCCTCCTGTGGGAAGTTGGGTCCTATAACCAAGTCCCAAAAGACAAGTCACTTGAGGGTCACAGTCATTTTTATCTAAGCCAAATGGAATTTCTTTCTTTTCTCTTCATATTTTGGATAGGCAGATGAACTAGAATTTGTGTTCAGCCTCTGGCAGAGCTGTGAAAATAGTAGAAGTTAACAAACAGCCAGATATACACGTGTCTGTCTTGCCAGTCATCAAAGCCCTAAGCCACTTTAGCCCATGGCTGTGCTGGCTATCTAGCATGGTCAGCCTGAGCGTGATCAAACCACACCATCCTCCAGGGGTGGTCGAGGACAGCGTCTTCTCTCTCTGAGCCTATGTCTCTAGTTTTCTCCAGCCATGGTTTGTTGTACAATTATAAGCAAAAGGTTTTGATGTCAGCCCTGATGCTGAGTACAGGAAAGGTGTTACAGGGGCGAGCAGCAGGGAAAGCAGATGAATACATAATGGAACTGGACCACCTAAATATGTTCTGATTTAGACCATGTAGCCATAGAGAACTTTTTTTACAGGACTTACACTTTTTTATAGATAAGAATAATTTGACTACAAAAGATATGTATTCTCAGAACCCAGCACTTCAGAGTTCAGCAAGCAAGATTCCCCCCTCCCCAGCCAGGAGTCTTTCTGCTCTTGTCACATACTCGTTCTGACACTACAATCGGTATGGTAAACCCTTTCCCCAGGAGGGGGCCCTGAAACTCCTCCATTGCTTTGTGCTGGTCATTCTTTGTGCTCACTATGACCCAGGTAGCCTTCTTCCCTCTTACCCACGGCCCAGCCTGGGAGGGTCTCCACTTCTCACTCTCCGAGTTCCTCCTGAGTTTGGGGACTCTGTGCCCTGTTACGAGATGCTTTCTTCCCCAGGTCCCTCCCACTCACTCCTCTCACAGGGAGACACCAATGAGAGTGTGCCTGTCCTGATACTGGGCCGACTCGAGTGTGGGTTTCTCTGTGCGTCCTTCCAGAGTGGGTGTTTGTTGGCCTGGTGATCCTGGGAGTCTTCCTCTTCTTCGTCCTGGTGGGGATCTGCTGGTGCCAGTGCTGCCCTCATAGCTGCTGTTGCTACATCCGCTGCCCATGTTGCCCAGATTCCTGCTGCTGCCCTCAGGCCTGTGAGTAAAGTGACCAACTGGGGAGACATGCCGTGATAAAAAGATATGTCATCTTTCCATCGGACAGCTGTGTGCCCTGAGTCCCTTCTCCACCTCCTTTCCTTCCACCCAAAAAGTGGGTCGTTCCAGACTGTCTCCTCTGCTGGGAGCCCCTGGCTTCCAGAGATGACCATTCTTCTTTGCCTTCTCACCTACATGCACCTCTCCATGCTTTTTATCCACACCTCTCACCCCTGCATTGGAATTTTCATTGACACCATTGATGAATAGAAAGGCAGGTTCAGGATGGTGAGCTTGTGGGGTAAGGCTTTTGCCCTCTCCCCGGGCATTCAAATTAGAGGAAACCCTCTCTGGTTATGCCTCTCACAGGCAGAGAACTCCTCTTTTTACAAGCAGAGTGTGCAAACAGCAGCCTTTGGGTACCATCCAGCCACAGATGAGTTTTATTTACTCCCATGACAAAATGATCCACAAAGGAACTAGTTCTCATTTGGGGATTCACAATTTTAACTTACTGGCCAAACCCATGTAGGCATTAAGTTTGGAACCTCTGCCATAAACCAAACACATCTTGAAGGAGAGAGACACATGTGTCTTGAGTATCCTTAGGAATAAAGCAGTTTCCAGGAGGAGTCAGGTTATTTGCTCTGCTTTTGAGATCACAGAGCAGGACCATGTGCAAGCCCCTTGCTTGCTTTGCCTGTCTAGAAGACGTTCAGGATCCTCCTGGAAGCAGCCCTGGGCAGCCCTGGTGCTGGGCCTCCTCCAGAGGGGCTGAGGCAGCCCACAGACAGTGTGGCGAAGAGTGGGCCACTGATGTCACTGGGGAGGCTGCTGTGACAGCTCCCAGTACCGCTTACTCAGTTGCCAGGTACTAAACACTGTAATTCCTTATGTCACTGCCTTTTGGCAGAGCTGGAGGAGTCTGGGAGGGTGGTTCTGATGAATCAATTCAGGCCTAGGAGAACACACACACATACACACGCACAGCATAGACACGCACACACAGGCTCACATCCAGGAGCTCCCTTAAGCACATCCTCAGGGATTTTGGTGTGAGGGTTGCGGAGGGTGGGACGATATAATCTCTCTTGCTCTTCATCTCCCTCCACAGTGTATGAAGCAGGGAAAGCAGCAAAGGCTGGGTACCCTCCCTCTGTTTCCGGTGTCCCCGGCCCTTACTCCATCCCCTCTGTCCCCCTGGGAGGAGCCCCTTCATCTGGCATGCTGATGGACAAGCCGCATCCACCTCCCCTGGCACCAAGTGACTCCACTGGAGGAAGCCACAGTGGTAAATGTAGTTCCAGACCGCCCTGCCCCGTGCTTCTCTCTGGCTTCCACTCTGGTTCCTTGCTGAGAAGCACCCTCAGCTCACTGATGCTTCTTTGGAAAATGATTATCTCCATTACGGAAAGGGGATCCTTCCAGCTGTATCAGATATCTTCTGGTGCATGTCAGGCTTTCTAAGGGTTGCAGGACATAGCTGCCCCCTGCTTTCTTTCCAGGCTCCTCAACTAAAATGATAAGAAAAAGAGGCAAGGTATGCCTTGAATTTTGATCATTCAGTTAGTAAATAGTTATCTCATCCTTACCTAGTGCTCAGGACTGTGACAGGCACTGTGAGGAACACCAGGAAGTATAGGACCTCGTTTGTCCCACACACAGTATGGCCACACAGGGAGAGGGAATGGACCTTTATTCAGACAATTGGATGCTACAGAGTAGTATGGGGAGTTCAAAGGAGAAAGAGCTGGAGTGATTACAGAGTCTTCAGGGAAGAGGTGAGATGTGAGCTGGAGGAATGAGAAGGATTAGGAAAGCAGAGAAGGGGTGCTGCACCCCCACAGGAATGCCAGCATGGTGGAAGCACAGAGCTGGTAGAACACTGTGTGTGTTTGATGGCATCCAGCTCATCTGTCTGACTGGAAAAAAGTGGAAGGATGTGGTGGAGCCAGATTAGGGAGGGCTTTGAAACCCCTCCAGAAGAGTGGGGGCTTGGTGCCATAGCCAGTGAGGCCACTGCAGGCAGATTCCTGAGTGGACACGTGACACACTGACAAGGCGAGTGGTAAGTGGGACAGGGTGGAGTCAGAGCCCACGAGCTGAGATGTGACTGAAGTGGTTCAGGTGGGACACATGAACATCTGGATTATGACGGAGACAATGGGAGCTGAAATCAGGGGGTGAATCTGAGAGAGACTCTGAAAGAGGAGGCAGTGAGACTTCAGGGCATGAAGGAAAAGGAGGCTTCAAGATAACCCCAAGTTGTCTAGTGGAGCATATCGCAGGCAGAAATGAAATGACTGACAAGGAGAGCTTATCTGGATGGAGATTAGCCCCATTTGGGGCCTCAAGAATCTGTGGTTATTGATAGGGGTAGAGGAGTGGAGGGCCTTAAAATGTCGCTTTGGAGGCATCTGAACCGGATTATAGAGCAGTAAAGGTTAGAATTGTGTGTGTAGTAGATTTAGGAGGTGATTTTTTTAATCCCTAGAAGTGGACAGCCACTAGGGTTGGTAAAAAGACATTGCTACCCTGGAGGCATCTACACTGCCTTCAGTGGGCAGCAGGAAGGTTATCTGTCCCACTTAATGAGCTGTCAACACCAGACCGGGGATGGAGTAGAGATCCTCAGTGAGTAATTGGTCTTTGTGTTTTTTCTCTCCCTGGAACTATTAGTAGAATTCTGACGTCTGAAACTAGGAATGAGTCACAGGCTGAGGAGTAAAAGTTAATGATCAAGGACACACTAGGAATTAGAGAGAGAAAGACAATATAGTCCAGCTTCCCAAAGGATGGAGGGGGCAAAGGGACATTAATGAAACTTGTCTTAACTCTATTTGCAGCTTCCCCTTTCTTTGTCTTCCTTCTCCTTCCTTCCCACCAGAACCCTTTCCCCCTTACTTTATATTTAATGGATTCTCATAATAAAATGATTCTTATTCAGAGAATGGCACATACTTTTTCTCTCCTGTTTTCAGCTTTTTTCCACTTCTTGCTTGTTGCAGTTCAATCATTTTGGCCCCATCCTGCCATGCTAACCAACTGCAATTAACAGTGGCATGAAAAATAGGAAAATTGATTATTTCACACAGCAAGAAATCCAAGGTAAGGGGCTCTGGAGCTGGTTAACTGAACAGTCCAGGTGGCATCACTGAAGGACCTGGTTGTTCCCATCTTTTGTTTTGTCCTCGTGAGTGCATCCTCTGTCCTCCTGGGCTGGCTCTCCTCATGATCCGTGATGACTGCCATAGTTCCAGGTATTAAATGCATTCAGAGATAGAAGAAGATGTGCTTCTTCCTTGTGCTGCTTTTCTCAAAAGTGAGGAAAACTTTTCCAGAAGCCCCTCCCCCTTCCAGCAGACTTCTCCTTGCCTTTTATTGGTAAGAATTGTGTCCCATGCCCATTCCTAAACCACATTGGCTTGGACTAATCAAGACTCATCTCTTAGGCCAAAACACCTATTGACCTTGGAAATGAACATCAGGGTTTTGTTAGCAAGGATAAAGGGGAAGATGCACAACCAATGTTGGCCATTGCTGGTCTGACCCATGTTATCATCATCTGGCTCGTTGAGTCAGGACAGAGTTCATGATCCCCATCAGGCACATTTCTGTACTCACGGTCCCATGGCCAGAATTACTGATGGCGTTTGGCTATTTCTCCTTTAAGAAAGGTGGCTTAAGCCAACATTCAATGTAGATTATTCTTTAAAGAATGTTAGAAATGTTAAGAAATGCTGATTGATGAAGATGTAAATTTAGTCTATTTTATATTTATATGCTACTTCAATTTTAGGGTAATCATCTAGCAACAGTAATTTTTCAGATTGCATTTGTACATAATACTCTTGAACACTCTGTGTAAAGAGGCATCTTTGATGAGCTATGTACAGTATAGCCAGTTGGTTACTGAATGGGAGAGAGATAGGAGACACCCTGATTCCTTTTCCCATTCTTCATAGCAGCCACTGAGACCTCTGTTATAATAAAAGAAGACTGTCTCTCCTGTCCTACCCCCACTTCAGCTTTGTCAAGGTTCTCTCTTTATTGAATAGCCACACTCCACCCCATTCCCACCTCACATTCCCCAGCCTTTCTTTCTTTAGTGACTCCTTCCTATCAGCATTTAAAACATGCTCAAATCTCTCCTATTGAAATACAACAATTTGCAAAAAACCTTGTAGTCCTCTGATATTACTTCCCTATATCCCTTTTCTCCTCTTCACAGCCAAATTCCTTGAAAGAGTTTTCCATTTCCTCTGCTCTCATCAACTCAACTAACTTCTGTCTTGCTATTGCTTTCACCACTCCAAAAGCCAGCTCCTGCCAAGATCGCCTTATTGCTAAGTCTAATGGATACTTCGCAGTCCTTACCTCCCTTGACTTCTCAAAAGCATTTGCCGCCCAACTCACTCATCTTGCTTTGCCTTCCTCAAAACGGTACTTTGTAATTTTTCCTACCTATTTTGCTGTGTGCTGGCTGTTCTTTCTCTGCACACCCCCCAGATAGTGGTGTTCCTGTTTTGTCTGAGGTCCTCTCCCTAGGAGATCTTATCTACTCCCATGGCTTCAGTCATCATCTATATGCGGATGACTCCCAGTCTTTATCTCCAACCTTTCTTCTGCTCCTCAGTCCCATATATCCAACTGCCTTCTGGACATCTCCCCCTGGATGTCTTGCAGGCATTTCAAACTCAGCCTCTGAAATTGAATTAATCTTCTGTTTCTCGACTTTAAACCAGCTCCTGCATTTCTTATTTCAGTGGGTGGCACCATTGTCCACCTAGCAGCCCAAACCAGAAGCAGGGACTTCATCCTCATCTCTTCCTTTCCCTCACTTCCCTCATCTAATTGGTCACCAAGTCCTTCAGATGGTACCTCAAAACAACCTTGAATTGGTTTACTTTCCTCCATCTCTACTGCAACTATCCTAGTCCTTGCTGCCATCATCTCCCCTCTTGATTAATGCAATTATCTCCTACCTGGGCTTCTATATCTATTCTTCCCTTGCTCTAATCCATTTTATTTTCACATCTATCTGGCCTCCACTCATCCTTCTTGCAATAGAATTAAGTAGGCAAGTAGAGTTTTGAAATGTCATTTTCAAAACTAATAAGGATGTGTGTCTATATATATGCCTACTGTATGTATACAGAGATTATGTAAATTTTAAGCATCACTTCTCCCACAACTGAGCTGCTGTCACCCTGGGGGTGGAATCTGGCAGCTGTTCCATCATCCATAAACAGCCTTACTTAGCTCATTAAGATAGGACAGGAAAAACAAGGCTATATCCATGGGTACCTGCCTTAGAGACTTCTTTTGCAAGTTTTATAAGTTGGACTTGGCTGTAAAGGGGAAATTAGTTGAAAAATAGTTGAGCCTTAATTGGGTCAAAAGTAGCCACTCAAATCCTTTAACAATAAGAATTTTTGAAATTATAATTTGGCATCAAAATGAATATCCCAATATTCCCTCTCCAGCAAAGCCAAAGTTGGCAAGGCTAATAAATTACAGTAGTTGAAGTATGAAGAGCCATACCAACCAAAGGCCTTGGACCAAAGTGAACTGGAAAAGAGAAATAAATCATCCAGCGACCCTAAACTGAAACATCACCAGGCAAAAAATCATTTTCCAAAAAATGCTGGACTTTGACCAACAGTCTAGGACATTTCTTATTAAAATATCACCACACATTAGAGAGTTCTCTGATCTTCAGACAAATTACAGATAAAAATCAACCTGACACTATTTTATTTGTTTTCAAATCAAGAAAAATTTAATGAATGCCTCCTTCTCTCAAGGAGTCTATGGTCTAGCAGAGTGATTGCTGGGGGCTTATGCACAGAGATAAAATGAGCAAAAAAAATACAAAGGAGGATATAAAACTGTTCTCTCATACAAGCTCAGAGAAGGAAAAGTCTCATCTGCTTGGAGGGACCAAGAAAGGTTTTCTGGTGTTTTATATGCTCCTGACAATATGTGACACAGGACCAGATTCTGCCAGGATGAGAGAATTAGTTACAGTGTGCTGCACAATAGAACCTACAGCTTTGATTTTAAAAAACCCAACACCTTTTAAGGGAGAATTGCCTAGCTCTTCAGCTACTGAAGCCAAATGGATGATGCCTCTGAACTCTAAATATCAATGCTTTGCCTTCCGTCCTTTTTGACAAATTGGATTTAGATTTCCGAAGTCATGAGCTGGTGTGACCAGGACATGAAAGCTGCAAGTATCTAGTGCGGTGGAGTCCCTTTATAATGCCAGGACTGAAAGGAGAAACTGCCATCTTCACCCGAGGCTGTCGGTAGCTACTGTAACTTTTCAGGGACCTGAGAACCTCTGCATTCATCATCAAATCTGTCTCATAACAAGGAGTGTAATTTGTTGTAAAGACAGAGAAAACAGGGGCTGGTCCGGTGGCGTAGCGCTTAAGTTTGCGTGTTCTGCTTCAGTGGCCCAGGGTTCGAGGTTCAGATCCTGGGCGCATACCTACTCACCGCTCATCAAGCCATGCTGAGGCAGCGTCCCACACAGAAGAACTACAAGGCCCTACAACTAGGATATACAACTATGTACTGGGGCTTTGGGGAGAAAAAGGAAAAAGAGGAAGATTGGCAACAGATGTTAGCGCAGGGCCAATCTTCCTCAAAAAAAAAAAAATATATAAATAAAGACAGAGAAAACAATCTAAGCCCCAGTCCAGGTTGAAGTTAATGGAGAGGTTTCTAGCTGTTGCTCAGGGTAGCAGCCACCTCTTATCGCGTACATTGTTCCTACAGCAACAGCCCCCCCCATCTCAGTATTACTGCATGTCTGCCACCACAGTGCTTCACACAGTAAGAACACTGAGATGAAGCCACAGCTGCAGGTACAGCAGGCCCCTTCCCTAAAGCCTATAAACATGGTAGTTTTCTTTACTTAAGAAATAATCATCAATAATAATAACAACAAAACTTACCTAAAGTTTGCTGCTCCCTCAAACTACCATTCAGGCCTTCCCCTTCCTGGTCAAAATTCTCCAACAAACCAACCACATGGCCTCTTCTGCCTTACTTTGTAATCCCTTGTAATATAGTTGCTATTCCTGATTTCTGTTCATTCATTCATTCATTCATTCATTCATTCATATAAACTCACATATTTGGAGTGTCTACAATGTGCCAGGCTCTCTGCTAGGTGCTGGCGATGCAGAGATAAACAGAATTGGTCCTTGTCCTCAGCAAGTTCACGGTCTAGAGAGAGAAACTCTACTGAAAATACTCCTTCTAAAGAAATCATTAACCCCACCCCCATCCCCAGGCTGGCATGAATTCAGCTCAAACATTTATTAAATGCCTACTATGTTTAAAGCACTATCCTGAGCTTTACAGCAATCCAGAATGATAAGAATTCTTTTCCCTCAAGAATCTTTGGGAAGATTAGACATTTCTACAAATAATTTGAAACAAACTAGAATATATTAAGGGCCATAGTGAAAGTTCAAAGTAAATAATCTATAAGTTAGGAGTGAGAGAGAGAGAGGAGAGAGAACTTTTTTGGCTATGAGAATCACAGAAAGCCCTTTGGATGAGGTGACACTTGAGCTGCCCCTAATAATTACAAAGCACTCAAAGTGCTCCATTGATTGGGTCTTTGTTATCTTCTCTTTTTGTTTCTTTTTTATTGTTTATATATTTGTCTTCTCCTCTTCATGAGGTTATTTAAAGGGTGGGAAGTATCAGTTGCATTTCATAGACAAGAAAACTGAGCCCTAGATAGGTCACCATTTATTTGAGTCCCTCAGTACACCAGTGGCCTGCCTGCAAGTGCCTGGTTCCCCCTTCCCAGCCCAGCGTTTCATCCATCAGACATAACTGCCTCAGAACAGACATAGCAGTTCCGTGGGATAATTGCATTTTAATTGAACTGTCTGTACTACTCTAAACGCCTCTGCAGAGATGGAAGAGTGTGTAGCTTGATAAATAAAATCATTTCTGCTAATAATTCCTTCTGCATAAAGATTATGGATCTAACCTCCAGGAGAAGGTGCCACTGAAAAGTGTATACTGAGATTCTCTAATTTTTTTAAGGAACTCCACAATTTGAGATGACTGTGGACTTCCCAGCATGTTCTCATATAGAAAATCGGTGCACCTGCAAATGGGTGTGTGGGCGTCTTCTGAGTCTCAAGTGCAGGGCTGCTATTAGAGTGCTGTGGAATAGTACATCTTAATCTTCCATGTACATGCTCGTGGCGGGGGGGGGCTTTGTCCACAGCTAGGGAAACACGACCAGAGAGCAGAAAGCAGGATTTTCTCCAGAAGCACAGGCAATCGTGTGGTTTCCTTATGGGATTTGCCCTACTGTGGGAATAGAGAATGTTGGCGTTGGGTCACTTGCGTCCATCCCATTGTACAATCCTGATGGGCTGAAGATAGGACCGTGCTCAGATGACACCACCATGGCACTCCTAGGAGCATTTCCTCCTCTGGGCTCTTCTTTCCTGTCTTCCTCTTCTCTCTCTCCGTACTACCTCTGCTCCCAGACTTCCGAGAGGCAAGATGCCCAATATGGTTAGGCCTGAATCAGATGACAAGGCTCCAGTCCCAGTGCTGCTGCTTATTCCTGAGCAAGTTATGAAACCTCTCTGAGCCAGAGTTTTCTCAACCATAAAATGTGGCTAATTCCTTAGGTGGTTGTGAGGAACAAATGTCCATAGAAAGCATTTAGCACAGTACCTAACAAATTTTCAGTGCACAGTAAGTGTTGTCTATTACCATTAGTGTTCTGTCCCCATCCCATTCATTCCCTTCTCTCTTCCTTTTTTTCTCTTTCTCATAACTGTGAAGATTAGACCTGCCTGTGTCTGATCATCCTTGGGGCTGGTATTGGACTAGAATGATACTTGAGTGACACGGGGCTTAAACAGCCTTTGTCCCTGACAATGTGAGTGATGGGAAGGTAGGAGATGGTATTATCTCTCATGCTTTAATTTTGTTTTTTATTAAGCCCTGAAAATAACACCTGCTTATAACCACAGAGCAGCAGGTTGAATTAATCATGTCTAAAATATGATATTCCCTTTCCTAAAAGGAAAATGCTAAAGAAATAAAATGGAACCATAATTAGTAATCCATGTATTTTTCATCTTATTTTGTACTAATGCGTATATAGCCTATAATCTAATATTAGCCCTTACGCACCATCCAGTTATGGAATTTTTGCACCATCTCCCAGGCAACTAGAGGCTTTCAGGCCACCTTTGTCAAGGTCCCTGATATATGAGTATCTGTTTTAAAGTTATATGTGCTCCCACCAAGTGAAAGTGTGATCCTCAGACTGTAGAGTGGTCTGTGTCCTCAGTCTAGAAAGTGGTCTTTTTTTAGTATGAGTATACTCCCCAAGCTTTGAGAGGATGAGGTTTAAGTGGAGCTAGAGAAGGTCAGGAGATAGGAGGTAGAGGTTAACAAATGACTAAAAATATACTGTAATAGAATTTTGTTGTTGACCTGCTGGTCCTCCATTCTAATGGCACCATCTGATAAAGGGGATCTTGGGTATGGTTCCATATGTATAAACGTAGATTGCTATTTCTGGGTGACTTCAAAAAGAGTTGTTATAAGTGGGAGCCATGTTTTCTACTTGGTAAAATAAATGGAGGCCTCCTTCTCCTGATTTTTTCAGCTCACCGTCTCATCCTTTTCTCAACAGTTCGCAAAGGTTACCGGATCCAAGCTGACAAAGAGAGAGACTCCATGAAGGTCCTGTACTATGTCGAGAAGGAGCTGGCTCAGTTTGATCCAGCCCGAAGGATGAGAGGCAGATGTGAGCATCTGTTAGTTTTGTGTGATCTCTGCATCATGCAGGAGTCCATAGCTAAAGGGGATTTGGGAGTCACCAAACGTGGGCAGCCCTGAGCTTTCAGGGTCAGAGCTAGCAGGGGTACTGGTGACACCATCCTGAAGAAAGTAGCTCTGAGTACTCAGAGGGAAGAACAAGGGGCTTCTGGTGTGAAGAATAGAGCAATCATCTGCCATCTTGGTTTACATTGTGTCTCTCCGCAGGGCAGTCAGTATTGTTGGGCCTGTACAATCCTGAGGTTGGAAATGTTTTATTAAAACAGTCTTTCCCTGATACTCCCTTTAAAATATACACAAAATAATGCCTTAAGATGTGGAAGCTTGAGTATGTTTTTCCCAACATGATAGGCCCTAGCACTGAACAACAACAGTCCAGCTCCTGACTTGCTGCATGGAGACCTCAGTGAGAGTGAAAGAACAAGTCTGCCAAGTGAGTCTTGTGAAATAGAGGCCTACATTCCTCTGAGATGCCCAGCAGCAGAGATTGAGCATCAAGCAAAGAGGCTGCCCTTCTTGTCAAAAGAACTTTTTAATTACTGAGTCTGTAGGTGACAGGGTCCCAACCCTTAACTCACCCACAGCCCCTGGAGACTTTGCAGCTGACATAGCTGATTCTTTGGGGTGAATTCCAAATTATTATCTATCGTGAGAGGCAGCACAGGGCAGGTCTGACATGGATGGGATAAGTATCAGAGGGTGCTGGCAGGCATGGTAGTGAGGTCACTACGTTTCTCTCTTTGAACCCTCCTCGCCTTGGAACCAAGAAGAGACTTGATGGAATTGTTGGGTAAACAGTCCCAGACTAGAGGAGCTTTATTCAGATTAAGGACAACATATTCCTCCCAGTTTGCAATTCTAAATTCATCCTGTCTGAGTTGCATCGATTGCTGCATCCTCCCACCGCACTGACTATAAAAAGACCATCTCCAGACTGGAATGTCAGGAATGCAGATGTCACTGCACGTGACAAGCTGGTTGTAACAGTGTTGTCAGGGACCCCTATAAGGGGACAGAGACAGAGTCAGCGATCAGGGAGAAGGAGGCTGTGGAGGGAATCTTTGACTCTCACAGCTCAGAGAAAAAGTTAAAAACTGAGGTTAAATTTAAGGATGAATCCTGGTTTAGGTGGTGTCTCCTGTCTACCTGGGTTAAAATGGCCTCCAGGCACTGGCTGGTCATAGGGTAATGGAATCATAGAGTCCAAGGGGACCTTAGAGGTGGCCTGGGTCAACCTTTGCAGTGTAGAGATCAGGAAACAGAAGCTCAGAGGGTTGAAGTGAAAAATCAGGACTAGAACCGAGCTCTTCTGATTCCCATCCTGTGCTCTTTACATAAGAAACTTTTGAGCAAACTGGATGGCTCCATGGGTGCAGCAGAGACCACAGCCTTCTAGCTCTTAGGACTTTAGGATATTGGACCTGGAAGAGACTGAGGTTGCTGAATCCACCTCTCTCATTTTATAGAGGAGGAAAGGGAGGCAGGGAGGGAAAGTAACCAGTGTCAGTACTCAGTGCCAGTGCCAGAACTGGATCCCAGATCTCCTGGAACCTGCAGGTTGACATTACAATAATGGCACAGAGATGAGTAGGAATATAGTGCACTTTACTTTGGGAGGTTCTATTCCTGAAGAGCAAAGTAAACCCTGGGGTGGATCATGGAAGTGGGACAGTCTTGAAGATCTCATCATAAAGTGGATCTCATGGTTTCAGGTTGCGGCAAGGGAGTAATAGATTTTCTGAGAATTGGGAGTTTCAGAGTCAGGCCATGAATTTGCTAGCCAGTATGATCCTGATTTGTCTTGCCCCTTAGAAGTGGGGGTTGCTCTTGGGATGTTTTTAGTCTGGAATTCCAGGGTAGGGATCAGCAAATTACAGCTCACGAGGCACATATGTTCCACCTCCAGTTTTTGTTAAGTAACTTTTCTTGGAATACAGCCATGCCAATTCACTTATGTATTATCTATGACTCCTTTCATACTACAATAGCAGAGTTGAATAATTCTGACAGTACGGCTTACAAAGCCTAAAATGTTTACTATCTGGCCCTTTACAGAAAAAGTTTGCCTGTCCTGTCCTAGAGTTACATTATTAGGTGTCTGTGAAGTGGGGGATGTTGATGTTGATGTTCAATGGGGCAGAAATTTTAGAGCAGCATACAACCTGGACCATCCATCATATGAATGGTGAAACAGAGATAGCCCTCACTATCTGGAGAAATGAAAAATGTCCTTTACTCCCTGAAGTTTAAGGAAAGTTCTGAGCCAATAATATGATTTTTCAGTGTTCATACTTCGTGGATTTTAAAGTTCTGTATGGTTCCTAGGAGATTGGAATTCAGTGGGATCATGAGAAAAGGAAGGGTCTAGATTTTATTAACCAATAGTATCTGAGTTATTTTCCTTTAAAATAGGCACTAACTAGTCCATTCTCCTTAGAAGGAAGAAAAGGTTTAAAAATTAGATTATAATTCAAAACCAACTGATTGCACAACCAAACTGAATGACATTCCTGGTCAGCCCTGTGTCCCGGTAAAAGAGGATGAGGAGGCTGTGTTTATGCTGGGGGGGTGGGGGAGGAGGCCTGCCCTCCCCTTAGTGGGTGGGAACCAGAAAAACTCTTCTGCTCCTCCCAGGACTGTGGGGATGGGGAGGAGAAGCAGCAGAGGGGAACCTGAGCCCCAGACTTGTGCTCTGACATCTTATCTTGGCTTACCTTTTGCTCAATAGCCAGGCCTTACACCTTGTAAATGTTGAGTCTGAAAATATTTTGAAGTTCTAACCAAAGGATTTTAAAAAACAAATGGATTCAGTTACATTACAAATAGATTCACTAGATTTGTTGTTTAAGTAAAATGCAATTCAATCCATTTCAAAGTTCTATAAATAAATAGTGGGATTTTTTTTTCTTTCCAGATTGTGATTCTGGTCCTTGTTCACAAGTGCTTTTGCAAGGAGCTACTTAGGCCACCTTAGGAAATGAGAAAGCTGTGACCAGCGTCCCCTTACATTTTTGGGCTGGGGCAGGAGTACAGGTGGAGGCCCACAGGCCATAACATAAGTGCAGCCCGCCCCTTTCTTCCCATACCTCCAAACAGCTGCCCTGGCCACGCGTGGCCACATACACCTGGAATACTCTGGGGAAGGAAAGAGGTCTATGCAGGCCCTGGAAATAGACCTGGTGCCATTTGGGGAGGATAGTCCAGGTTCCTGGATAAGCATCCAGAAGTGGGGCTGATGGATACTAGGTGTGCAGTCCCCTTGGCCTTGTGGACTCCTTGCTCCGTGGAGAGGGGCACAGCTGAAGGGGGCTGGAATGGGGTGCCTCTAACACATGGAGTGGGACTGGCTCTGAAGGCCCCATCTTGGGACTCTGCCAACAGTAGAGAATATGCAGTGATCTGTGGCTTTTCTCTCTTTTGGCCCCTTTTGGCTCAACATGGGATCATCATGGCTCATCACAGAATTATACAAGAAGAAGAAAAACATTTGAACAAGGATGATGATGTACTAGGAGGAGACCAGCTGCAGAGAGCCCAGGTTCTGGGAAGCCTGCCTTAGGTAGAACAATAACAATTATTTTCCTGTTCTAAGAACAGAGCATTGTAGGAAGCCTCCCTCTCTGTAGGCAAGTGGGTTTCTAGGTAGAGCCAGTTCCTGCTGAGCTAAGAACGCAAATACCACGACTTCAGGTCTCCAACTCACCCTGGACAGCATTGAGGTCACTGGGTGGGGGTTTCCCAGAGCCTCTGGTCTCAGCCCTTAACAGAGTTTCCGTTCTATCTAACACGTAGAAAGCTCTGTCATGCCTGGTTTTGTCCCTGCAGATAACAACACCATCTCAGAACTCAGCTCCCTGCATGAGGACGACAGCAATTTCCGCCAGTCTTACCATCAGATGCGAAGCAAGCAGTTCCCTGTGTCCGGGGACTTGGAAAGCAATCCTGACTACTGGCCAGGTGTCATGGGAGGCAGCAGTGGGGCAAGCCGGGGGCCCTCAGCCATGGAGTATAACAAAGAGGATCACGAGAGCTTCAGGCACAGGTGAAGATGGCTGTGGAAGGGCAGCTCTGGTGCTGGGCGTGAGGGGGCAGGAGCCGGAAAGCAGCGGGGATCTGAAGCTGCTATTACCCTATAGCATCTCCGTCTCCCATTCGAGGTTATCCTGCCACATCTCTCTTTTGATGGCTATTGACCATCCCCTTCCCACAATTATTAAGTAAGGCTCCACTGGTGACACCATGTGTAGAAGTAATCATTCAAGGCCCTCTGAAATGGATCCTCTAGACCCTTTAAATGAACCTTGTTAACATCTTCCTGCCCTTCTCATGTATTTTATCCTATAGCCTCTAAAAATTCCCACCCATCATCTCCATCATTTTTGATCATTTGTTATGTGAAAGGTAAAATGCCAAACATGTTATACTGTTTTATATGTTACTGCATTTGATTCTCATAACTCTAAAAGGGAGGTATGATTAATGTCCCCATTTTAAGTTGGGGAAACTAAAACTTACAGATGCTAAGGAACTTACCCAGGGTCACATAGCCAATGAATGTGGGAGGCCAAGATGTGCGTTCAGTTTTGTGTAGCTTCTTCCCACTGAAAAGCACCTTCACCACTCACCTGTCTTTTACCTGGAAGAATAGTAGACATTGCCTTTCTCTCAAACTTACCAACTGCAGGGGTCCCTCTGGCCTGCCCCGCCAAGAAGTAACTTGGCCCTCAGCTCTGAGGGAGGAGAAGGCCTCACTGTATATCACCAATTACAGGGGCTCCTTAGGCCACAACTGTGTGTATTTATTGCAAGCCACACCACCCACGCTGGCTCTGAGGCGGTGAGGAGTGAGACATGTGAGTGTCCACCACAGGTCACACAATAATGATCAGAGGGAGGCCGCAGGTGTGTTTCAGCACCATATAGATCACCAAGTATTTTTCTCCACACACATCCATTTTGATCCCTAACACAAACTCATGAGATTGCCTTCACTTTACTGTTTGCGATTCTGAGGCGTGAGAGCTGCCCAAGATCGTTCACCGGCAAGGAGCGAAGCTGCGGCTCGGAGCGAGGCCCCAGAACACCATGGGTGCTCTTACAGCCCCCTCAGGCTCCCTGCCTGGCACGCGGCAGAGGTTCGGTACCTGCGCATTGCCCGGCGGACTGACCCGTGTCTCCTGTGCCCGCAGCCAGCAGCGCTCCAAATCCGAGATGCTGGCCCGGAAGAACTTCGCCGCCGGCGTGCCGGCCGTCTCCATGGACGAGCTGGCGGCCTTCGCCGACTCCTACGGCCAGCGGGCCCGCCGGGCCGAGGGCAACAGCCACGAGGCCCGGGGCGGGGGCCGCTTCGAGCGCTCGGAGGCGCGGGCGCCCGGGGGCTTCTACCAGGACGGCTCGCTGGAGAAGTACTACGGGCCGCGGAGCCGCAGCCG